CCCCCCTGCCTCCCTCCCACTTCCCATCCTGCTCCCCCATGCCCGGCCTCCCTACTGACTTTCCTCCCTGCTCAGGACTATGAGCTGCAGGCAGACACCTACCATTGCTCCCTGGAGCCCACCCTGGCAGTGTCTGCCCCCAAGAGACCCAGAGTGACCCCCCTGCAGAAAAGCATCGAGGCCCAGGTGAGATTGGACTTGGTGGGTTCCCTAGCACCAGCTGTGCAGCCTCTGAGGCAGGAGCTAACTCCTGCCTTCCCTCTCTCTTTTTGCTCTGTCCAGGAGAAGAGCCTGGCCAAGGCCTATACTGAGGTCACAGCTGCACACCAGCAGCAGCTGCACCAGCTGGAGTTTGCCAGAAAGATGCTAGAGAAGGTACAGAGATGAAGGCCCCTCTATCCTCACAACAGAGAGAGACAGTGACCCCGCTGTCTTCCCTTCCTCTTTCCCTGCAGCCTGTAGCCCCTGGCAGGCTCAGCAGCCAGCTTCCCTCGAGCGGCTCTAACAGGCTAGTATCCTTTCGGTTTAGGTTCTGCAGATGTCCTTCGATGCAGTCACAACTTAGCCACCGGGCAGTTCTCTGATAGGGACAGGACCTCTAACCCCAGAGAGCAGAGAAAATCCTCACAGACTCTTTATCGTGGGACCCAGACACAATGGCAGCAGGCCACCTAGGTCTCCATCCCTGGTAAAGCAGGAGCCAGGCACTCTCTGTGGCTCCTGGTGGCCTGCTAGTCTTCTGCTCCCTGATCTGTACACCAGTGGGAGCTAGAGGAGGAAGGGCCCCTTCTGGGAGCCTGATGGAAGAGGCAGGGGAAAGGTTCAGAAGGGAGTACCAGTCACACTTGGCCTGACCCTGCTTGCTTCCTAACATCATGGCATTGACTAGGTCTCAAAATCTTGCACCAAGCATCTCAGGACTTCAGTCCCACCTCAGGAGCTAACGGAAGTCTCAGGAAGTGTGTGGGGGGGACTGTGTGTCTCTGATCTCGAGGACGGGGTGTAGAAAAATGGGATGCCTATTTCTTTCTCCCAGTATTCTCCCTTCTTCTTCTCCCTCTGCAGAAGGAGCTCAGTGAGGATATCCAGGTGGCAGGTGATGCGCAGCAGGGGTCTGAGTGCTCAGCCCAAGCAGGGAGGGAGTCAGAGGCCCTGAAGTCCCAGCTGGAGGAGGAGAGGAAGCGGGTGGCTCAGTTGCAGCATGAGTTGGAGCGGCAGAGGCAGCAGCTGCTGCAGCTGAAGACCCAGAGGCCCGTGGAGAGGCTGGAGGAGAAGGAACTGGTGGAGTTCTACCGGGACCCCCAGATGGAGAGCAGCCTGTCCAGGGTGAAGGCCCAGGTGGAGGAGGAGAGCAAGAGGAGGGCTGGGCTGCAGGCAAACCTGGAGGCAGTGGCCCAGAAAGTGGTCCAGCTAGAGAGCAAAAGGAGGACCATACAGCCTCCTCACCTGCTGACCAAGGAGGTCACCCAAATTGAGAGAGACCCCAGCCTGGACAGCCAGGCGGTTCAACTGGGCAGAGAGATCCAGCATCTGCGGGGGGAGAACACTGTCATCTCAGCCCAGCTGGAGGAGCTTCAGAAGGAGCTGCTGGCCCTTGAGCAGAAGGAGGTGAGTGTGAAAGAGAAGGTGGTGGTGAAAGAAGTGGTCAAGGTGGAGAAGGATCTGGACATGGTCAAGGCAGCCGAGGCTCTGAGGCTGCAGACTGAGGATGCCGCTGCACAGAGGAAGCTGGCACAGGAGGCCACGGCCAAGCTACAGGCTCGCATAGCAGACCTGGAGCGGATGATCAGCTCGGCGGAGCCCAAGGTCATCGTGAAGGAGGTGAAGAAGGTGGAGCCGGATCCAGCCCTTCTCAAAGAGTCCACCAGGCTGAGAAGCCTCCTGGAGGAGGAGAGGAACAAGAATGCCATGTTGGCCGGGGAACTGAGGGACCTGCGGGGCAAGTACAGTGTGGTAGAGAAGCAGAAGCCCAAGGTGCAGCTCCAGGAACGGGTCAGTGAGATCTTCCAGGTGGACCCAGACACGGAGCAGCAGATCACACGGCTCAGAGCCGAGCTGCAGGAGGTGGCCGGCAAGAGGAGCAGCGTGGAGAAGGAGGTGGAGAGGCTGCTGCCTGACCTGGAGGTCCTGCGGGCCCAGAAGCCCATGGTAGAGTACAAGGAGGTGACCCAGGAGGTGGTGAGGCACGAGAGGAGCCCGGAAGTGCTGCGTGAGATCGACCGCCTCAAGGCTCAGCTCAACGAGCTGGTCAATGCCAGTGGGCGCTGCCAGGAGCAGCTCATCCGGCTGCGGGGGGAGCGGGACGAGTGGAAGCGGGAGCGGTCCAAGGTGGAGACCAAGATGGTGAACAAGGAGGTGGTGCGCCACGAGAAGGACCCAGTGCTGGAGAAGGAGGCCCAGAGACTCCGCCAGGAGGTGCGGGAAGCAGCCCAGAAGAGACGGGCCACGGAGGCCGTGGTCTATGAGCTGCAGAACAAGTACCTGCTGCTGGAGAGGAGGCGGCCCGAGGAGAAGGTGGTGGTGCAGGAGGTGGTGGTCACCCAGAAGGACCCGAAGCTGCATGAGGACCACAGCCGGCTGAGCCGCAGCCTGGATGAGGAGGTGGGCCGCCGGCGGCAGCTGGAGCGGGAGGTGCAGCAGCTGCGTGCCAGCGTGGAGGAGAAGGAGGGTCTGCTCAGCTTCCAGGAGGAGCGCAGCAAGAAGCTGGCTGCCGAGAAGGAGCTGCGGCAGCTGACCCTGAGGACCCAGGAGCTGGAGAAGCGGCCTCCTGCAGTGCAGGAGAAGATCGTCATGGAGGAAGTGGTCAAGCTGGAGAAGGACCCAGATCTGGAGAGGTCCACAGAAGCCCTGCGGCGGGACCTGGACCAGGAGAAGATGCGGGCGACAGAGCTGAATCGGGAGTGCAAGAGCCTGCAGGTCCAGATCGATGTCCTTCAGCAGACAAAGTCACAGGAGAAGACCATTTATAAGGAAGTGATCAGGGTGGAGAAGGACCGGGTGCTGGAGGGTGAGCGGGCCCTGGTGTGGGAGAAGCTCAACCGAGAGCGTGCAGCCCGCCAGGGCCGGGAGGACGAGGTACGGCGCTTGCGCGAGCGGATTGACAAGGCTGAGGCCCTGAGGAGGACCTGGTCCCAGGAGGAGGCCCAGCTGCAGAAGGCCCGGGACCAGGCTGGCCAGGAATGTGGGCGGTTGCAGCAGCAGCTGCGGGAGCTGGAGCGACAGAAGCAGCAGAAGGTGCTGCAACTGCAGGAGGAGGCCCAGCTGCTCAGCCAGAAGACAGAGGGCGAGCGGCAGAAGGCAGCCCAGAGAGGCCAGGCACTGGCGCAGCTGGAGGCAGCCATCCTCCAGGAGAAGGACCAGATCTATGAGAAGGAGAGGGCCCTCCGGGACCTGCACGCCAAGGTCACTCGGGAGGAGCTCAGCCAGGAGACCCAGACGCGAGAGACCAACCTTTCCACCAAGATCTGCATCTTGGAACCTGAGACAGGAAATGACATGTCCCCGTACGAGGCCTACAAGAGGGGCATCATTGACCGGGGCCAGTACCTCCAGCTGCAGGAGCTGGAGTGTGACTGGGAGGAGGTCACCACCGTGGGCCCCTGTGGGGAGGAGTCTGTGCTCCTGGACCAAAAGAGCGGGAAGCAGTACTCCATCGAGGCCGCCCTGCGCTGTCGCCGCATCTCCAAGGAGGAGTACCATCTGTACAAGGACGGCCGCCTCCCCATTTCCGAGTTCGCCCTGCTCGTGGCAGGGGAGACCAAGCCCTGCTACTCACTCTCCATTGGCTCCATCATCTCCAAGTCCCCACTCGGCTCCCCAGCTCCCCAAAGCTCTGGTTTCTTCTCCCCCAGTTTCTCTTTTGGGCTCACGGATGACAGCTTTCCCATCGCTGGGGTCTACGACACAACCACAGATAACAAATGCAGCATCAAGACAGCTGTGGCCAAGAACATGCTGGACCCCATCACTGGGCAGAAGCTGCTGGAGGCCCAGGCGGCCACAGGGGGCATCGTGGATCTCCTTAGCCGCGAGCGCTACTCTGTGCACAAGGCCTTGGAGAGGGGGCTGATTGAGAACACCTCCACACAGCGGCTGCTCAATGCCCAGAAGGCCTTCACCGGCATTGAAGATCCTGTCACCAAGAAGAGGCTGTCGGTGGGTGAGGCCATCCAGAAGGGCTGGATGCCCCAGGAGAGTGTGCTTCTGCACCTGCGGGTACAACACCTGACTGGGGGGCTCATTGACCCCAAGAGGACGGGCCGCATCCCTGTCCCACAGGCTGTGGTCTGTGGAATGATCACTGGAGACCTGGCCCAACTCCTACAGGACGAGTCCAGCTATGAGAAGGATTTGACAGACCCCATCTCTAAGGAGCGGCTGAGCTACAAGGAGGCCATGGGGCGCTGCCGTAAAGATCCACTGAGTGGCCTGCTGCTGCTCCCAGCTATGCTGGAGGGGTACCGCTGCTACCGCACGCCCTCCCCCAGCCTGCCACACTCCTGCGTGCGCTGATGGCCTCCCAGCAGCCAGGGGCGGGTGCCTGCCCCTTCCCCACAGCAGCCTAATCCCAGGCAGCAGCTCTTCCCCGCCCACAGACGGCTTATTACTCAAAGGTTCCTGGTATTCAGTCCCCCCCAACCTCGGTGTCCATCCATCCTCCCCCAGACCAGATTAGCAGCTCAGCTCTTCCCTCCTCCTCCCCTGCCTGGTGCTTCCAATAAATGAACTCTCCCAGGGCCCTGTGTGCTCACATTTGGGGATGTAAATCGACGTGTCTGGGTTTGCATGCAGGGCAGACTTTGCTTAGGTCCTTCCCTGGGTCAGGGCATGGACGTGCCCAGCTTGCTTGCCTGCTGGTCAACAGGATGTTCATGGAGTGGGGTGGCTCCTTGGATTCTGGGCAGGGGTGCAGTGGGAGACCATAGAAAGAGATTGCAGGAGAACACTCTCCCCTTGCCAGCAAGCCCAGGTGTCCCCAGAGCAGAACAGTGCCAGAAAACTTAGGAATGTGTCACATTTATTTCACATTTGTCAAATAAAAGAAAACCAACTTCAGTATCTTCAGTGGCATGACAGCTACTTAGAACAGCCACAAGTGTCCAGACCTCTTTGGGGGTCAGGAAACTGTCCCTCTCCCCTACTCACCCCTCCTGTTTAACTTGGGATTCCCAAATGGAACTTTAACTCCTCCTGCAAACACTTTAAATCCAAAAACACCAGCAGGGGGCTCCCTTTCATCCATTTGGGGTGGGGGGTTCTGGTTCTGCCGCTGCAGCTAGGTCAGGTGAAGGGCCTGGGGACCCCTGGAGCTCACTGCCTGCAGCTCCGGGCAGGCTTCCTGCGCTCCACTTGGCACTTGTTGTTCCAGTGCCAGGGGCACCATGCATGGAACATCTGCTCTTCTATTTTGAAAAGGACCGTCGAACCCAACAAACAACACAGACTTGCTAACCTGCTAGCAGGACTAACCCAAACTCAGCCCTCTGATGGCTGATCAAAATTCCTTAGAGCTTTACCCTCTCCCCAGGTTTGTTCTCTTGGGAGGTGGGTGGGAGGCAGACAGATTGAGGTGGTGGGCCTCAATGTTCTCAGCGGCAGAAACCCTCCGGCACACACTGGGAGGCCGGGGAGGGCTCGGGGGATGAGAAGTATGGGTGGGCAAGAGCGGCCTTGGCCGAGATCCTCCGGCTGGGGTCATACTGCAGGAGTTGCTGGGAGGAGAGAAGAGGCGTAAAGGGGTTGAGTCTGGGTGCGGCCAGACCGGGGAGAGAAATTCCCCTCCCAGGCCCCAGCTAGAGGGCCCAGGCCCAGAACCACATGAAGCCACTTGCCTCCTAGCTCTGGAGCCAGTTCTGGATACTCCCAGAATCTAGGGACAAAGGGTTAGTTCTGCTCCAGCCTTATGAGTCAACAGTCTCCTTCAGGCAACTGAATCCCAGTCATGCCCCTTCCTTGCTGAGAGTTCCAGGTCCCAGCCTGCTTCTGGCTGAGAACACTGGCGTGTCCCGTGTGTGGGTAAGCAGGCCCCAAACCTCAGGTTTGGGCATACTTGAGGTGGAGCAGGAATACAAAGAGCAGAAGGAGAGGGAAGGAGGAGGCAACAAGACAAGGGACCGTGGAGTCATGTGGAAGCCAGGGTGGAGGAAGCCAGTGCTGTCCTGGTTGGATAATATGCACAGACTTCTGGAGAGCTGGACACGCAGCCTGAAGATGAACTGCCTTCCTCTAGACTCCACCAGAGTAGACAGAAAAGCAGCTCGAGGCTGGGACCAGTGGTGTGTGCCTATAGCGGCTTTGGGGGCTGAGGCAGGATTCAAGTCCAAGGTTATTCTGGGCAACTTAGTAAGACTCTGTCTCAAAATAAATAAGAAAGGGCTGGGGATGTAACGTGGTGGTAGAATGTTGGCCTAGCATGTATGAGGCCCTGGTTTGACCCCAGCACCGAAAAACAACAACAAAAAAAGTGGCTCAGAGGCTTTGTGGTCAAGCAGGGATGGCTTTGGCTGAGGAGGCCTCTGGGCACTCTGGCCAGTCCAAGGGTCAAGGTGGTGCTATAAGAAGGATAAGCGAGGACAGTGGCAGGGTCCCAGGCAGCAGGGAACAGTCTGTTCCGAACAACCTGTGTGAGGGCACTGGGGGAATACCACGGCAGGAGGAGGGGTGGCCCCTACCTGAGGTAGCAGGCAACTGACATTAGCAGTGAGGTCCGCAGGGGGAGTGATCCAAAACGCCAGGCAGGGCTGGGATGTGGCTCAGTGTAGAGTGCTCGCCTAGCCTGAGCAGGCTCTGGGCTCAATCCCCAGGACCCCCAGAACAAAAAAACACACAAGCCAACTAGGGGAAGCAACAAGTGCTGTGGCCTAAGAAAAAAGCTCAACTAGAGGAGAGAAGGTTTAAACGGGAAGGTGAACCTTGGACTTATCACAAAGAGGCCTCTAGATGGGACAATCAATACGGCCTGGGACAAGCCAGGTGAGTACAAGGGCCAGGAAGGAGACCAGCCTGGACTCAGAAAGAGTGAGGGTTGCTGGGCACAGTAGCACACACTTAAAATCCGAGCTGAGGCAGGAGGACCGGAAGTTTGAGACAAGCCTAGGCAACTTCTCAAAAAAATGGAAAGAGGGCTAGGACTGTAGCTCAAGGGCTGAGCGCTTGCCTAGCATGTGTAAGATACTGGGTTTGATTGTCAGCACCACATAAAAATAAACAAAATAAAGGCATGCTGTCCATCTACAAAAAATTTTAAAAATTTAAAAAAAAATAGAAAGGGGGCTGGGGTTGTGGCTCAGTGGTAGAGTGCTTGCCTAGCATGCGTGAGGCCCTGGGTTCAATCCCCGGAACCACATAAAAATAAACAAATAAAATAAAGGTATTGTGTCCACCCACAACTAAAAATAAATAAATAAAATAGAAAGGACTGGGAATATAGCTCAATGGTAAAATGCCCCTGGGTTCAGTCCTCCATACTGCCACCACCTCACCCCAAAAAAGGAAGAATGAGGGTTATCCCAGCTACTTGGAAGGCTGGCAGGAGGACTACAAGTTTGAGGCCAGCCTCTTAGTGAGGCCCTGTCTCAAAAAAAGGGCTAGGAATACATTTCAGTGGCAGAGCGCTTGCCTAGCATGTATGCAAGGTCCTGGGTTCAATTCCCAGTAACACACACACACCCCATAAAAGAAGAGGGTTACATAAGAGGCTGGTTACCAAAAGGGACAGTCTGGTTGGAGAGATGCTGGGGCTAGGAGGCGTTTCTTGCCCACCAGGACCTACCATGAGCAGATCCTTGCCCTTGGGCTCCAGATTAGGCACAATTTCCTCCAACCCCTTCCTGGTCCACTTGGGGAAGCTGCCCTTATAGTCAGGCAGCTGGGTGACCCCTGGCCATGTGGCTTCACTGGGTGTCCCCAGGGTGCGAAAGATACGAAATAGTTGGTCAATTTCAGAGTCACCGGGAAACAGTGCTTTATGAGTCATCTGGAAAAGGGAAGAAGAGAAGGCGTGTGTTTGACAAAGTGTCACAATGAATCCAACGCCAGAGAAGTGGCCAGAACCAGGGAGCTACCTTTAGGAGGTCATTCCCAGGGCTGTGCTAACCGTTCCAGCCTTTTCTGAATAAAGCTGGGTTCCTGGTCCTGTAGCCAGTCCTAGCCACCCCTCAATCCACCTCTAACAGAGGTATCAGTGAGCCCCACCACCACCCCATAGGACACTGCCTATGCCTCCTTGGGACCAGGCTCATCTCTCTCTCTCTCTACCATCTCTGCAAAGATGCAACCAATGCTCCAGATATCCACAGCTGTGGAATAAAACTTGCTGCCCAAGAGGATCTCCGGGGCTCGATACCACAGTGTCACCACCTGTGGAGTCAAGAAAGAAATAGCATAATTCAGGGTGGCTGAGACCACAGGTGCCATCCTGTCGTTCCCTCCCCCTTGTCCCTCACTCTACCTCATGGGTGTAGGTGCGCAGGGGCACCCCGAAGGCTCGAGCCAGGCCAAAGTCGGCCAGCTTGAGGGCTCCAAACTCATTGATGAGCAGATTCTGGGGCTTCAGGTCTCTGTGGATGACCCGATGAGAGTGGCAGAAATTCACTCCCTGCAGTAGCTGGAAGAGGTAGCTCTGCAGAAAGGAGTAGGAGGAGCCCCTTGAGCCTAGGTGGCTGGTGCGGGGCCGGGGCGGGGTGTGTGTGTGTGTGTGTGTGTGTGTGTATGTGTGGCCGCCTTGCCCTTCTGTCTGTTCCTTGGCACCTTAACTAAGTGCAGGGGGAGCTCTGAGACTGGCATGGAGTCCATGTACTTCTTCAGGTCCTGGCTGAGGAACTCGAACACCAGGTACAGCTTCTTCTCGCTGTGCATCACATCCAGCAGCCTGGCAGGGAGATGGAAGTCAGGACGCCATCTTCTTGGTACCACCTTCCCTGGCTCCTTCCCCAGCTCACCTGACAATGTTGGGGTGCTTCAGTTCTTTGAGCAGGGAGATCTCCCTGATGGCAGTGCTGGGGACCCCCTCCGTTTCCCTGCCGGAAAGGAGGGCACAGCCAATGGGTAAGAGCAGGAGTCACTTCTAGCCAGAGGGATCCACTTCTGTGGTCCTCACTCCCATAAGGATGACCTGTCCTGAGATGGGCACCCTGAACACCTCAAGCTTCACACAGCAGTGCCAGGGCAAAGACTGACCAGGGGACAGGGAGTAGGGACGAGGACAAGGGCTGCACCATGGTGGCAGTATGACTGGACAACACCTGGAAAAGGGGTTGAGCCTGAACCCTTGAATTGAGGACATGGAAGGGGAGCTCCCAGGCGGTGGGTTGCTGGGGCACGGGGCAGGGGTTCCCATCATCCCAGCACTCACAAATCCAGCCTGATCTTCTTGAGTGCCACAAGCTGCCCAGTCTCCTTGTTCTTGGCCTTATAAACCACCCCATAGGTGCCCTCTCCAATCTTCTCTACCTTCTGGAACACATCCATGTCCGCAAAGCTGTCCAGGAAGAGAGACGATACCCCGGCATTCACACCCTGTGCACGGCACCCCCGCTGCCCGCCTCCCGCCTCCATGTAACACCCTGCCCAGCCCCAGCCTGTGTCCCTGCCCCCCCTGCACACTGCCCATTCTGCTTGGGAACCTGTCCTAGGGATGGCGCTGCCCCTCGCTGGGACGCTGCGCAGCCCCAGACCTTTTGCCCAGTGCCTGGCTACGGAATGCAGGAGGGCCCAAACTTCTTCTGCCTAAGCCCCTGTGTCAGCCCAGCCAAGCCCAGGTTCTGGGAGCACAAGACTGCCCAGAAGGGCTGCCAGGGATGAAGGACAGTGGGAGGCAGAGGTCACAGGTTAGGGAGGGCTTCTGAAGCCATAGTCCTACTCTAGGCCACATGGTCAAGGGCCAGGGCCTAGGCTGGGCCTGTTTGGCCATGTTTAGCCTCCTTTGAGGGCAGAACCTTGGCAGGGGCAATCCCTGTGAGTTCTGGGCCCCCCACCTGGCTCCTGGTCCCCCAAACCCTTCCCTCAGACACCCAGCCCAGAATTCACCAGAAGCCTGAGCGGCTGCAGCCTCACTACCAAGTGGGTTGCCTGCTCCACAGCTCCCCCTCCTGGTCCCTTCCAGCACAACACCACATGCACACACGGAGAGGTCATGCCCACTGGGCCTTTATTCAGGAGGATCTTCTGGAACCTTCTGTGACCCCACAGGAGGCATAGCCCCAGGGCCTTGGAGCTCCACTGTCTGGAGCCTCCTAGAGGGTAGGGGTGTCAGACCTTGACACCTGCTCCTAGGCTCTCATTTCTGGAACAATCCCAACATAGAGGAAGAGGCTGGATTGGCCACCCTGCCCCTCTACTCTCTGGCTCCAGTCAGACGCTGTCATTCAGGGAAGCGTCTACACTTCTGCAGTGGCTCTAGCAGCTCAAAGGTTTGGCCTCAGGAGTAGGTGAGGGGCTGCTGGCGTCCTCACTTCCTATTGGCTGCTGCCTCTCTCTTGCTGGTACAGCCGCTGCTCCAGGATGGCTTGTTCTAAGGAAGGCAGATTTATCCCTTCCACACAGGTCAGCAGCCGGGCCTTCACCACGTAACCGCCATCTGAAAGAAACACCAGGGCACTGGCAGTGACTAGGATACACCCAACCTATGCTTCTGGGGATTTCCACTTGCTGGGTCCTGAGTTTTGACAGCTAGAGGTGGAGGCAAGACAGATGGCATGTGCAACGCTGGCAATTTGTCCTCTTGGGCCTCGGAACTGTGGGCCCACATGCACACAGCACATGCCTGGAACTTAGCCAGCATCCTGAACGTTCCATATTTGGGGAGGTGGGTTCTGGAAGATGGACCCTCGACTTCCCACCTTTGCCACATAATTCCTTGGCCTCCTTTGTTCCCAAGTGCCCAGGGTCAAGGAGGGGTCCCATCACCATCCTAGCTCTCCATGTGTCCCAAGGAAAAGGCCTCCTTGGTACCTGGCAACTGGAGACCAGGCAAAGAGAAACTCATGTTTAGTAAATACAAGGGACTGAGTTCAAGGCAAGTTGGTCCTGAGAGGGGCAAGTCACCCAACCCAGAATGAGACTTGGAGCTACTAACACATGCAGTGGTGATCTGATACTTACTATCAATGTTCAGGTGACAGCACACAGGAAGGGCATTGGGGTTTACACTAACAGATGCCCATCTATTTTCAGGTGGACCAGTAGCTTACACCTGTAATCCCAGAGACTTGGGAGGCTAAGACAGAAGGATCCCAAGTTCAAGGCCAGCCTCAGCAATTTAGAGAGGGCCTCCGCATTTTAGTGAAATCATCTCAAAATAAAAAATAAAAAGGGTTGGGGATATACCTCAGCGGTAAAGTACCCCTGCATTCAACCCCTTAATACCAAAAAAAAAAAAAAAACAACACTTGTGTTCTCTCTGCTCTTTGGACACTTTAATAAATATGTTCAATGTTCCGGGACATTATCCTGTCTTCTTTTGATGCACAGAAACTCTCTGATTATTAGATAAAGACAAGCCTACTCTTCTTTCCAGTTCAGGCCACTTATCCACTTAACACTGCCTGGGGGAGAATTCAGTGTCCACTGTCTAAGAGGGGCTTGTGAGGTTGCCTGTGTCAGCTTCCATCACCCCAGCGCTGGGCTGCAGACACAGCACAGTCAAGGAAGGCATGGGTGCAGAGTTTGGGGATGTATCTCAGGGTAGAGCAATCACCTGAGGCCCTGGTTTCTATCCCCAGCATGCACATGCGCGCGCGCACACACACACCACACAGGAGTGGGTGCGTTACAAAATCTGGGTCTACTGATGGGTGTAGGTCGTTGATTCTCACCACGCAGGCCTCTTCAGTCTGGTATCTACCCTGATCAATCAAACAGTATTATTTTCCTATTTCCTCTGTTTTTTGTTTTGTTTTGTTTTGTTTTGTTTTTTTGGTGGAACTGGGGGTTGAACTCAGGGGCACTCTACCACTGGGCTACATCCCCAGCTCTTTTTATTTTGTTTATGTATTTATTTAAATTTTGGGGGCTGGGGATGTGGCTCAACCGGTAGCGCGCTCGCCTGGCATGCGTGCGGCCCGGGTTCGATCCTCAGCACCACATACAAACAAAGATATTGTGTCTGCCGAGAACTAAAATAAATATTTTTTTAAAATAAATAAATAAATAAATAAATTTTGGGTCAGGGTCTCACTAAGTTGCTGAGCCTGGTTTCAAGCTTGTGATCCTCCTGCCTCAGCCTCCAAAGTTGCTGAAATTACAGGTCAGTGTCTAGCCTGCCTAATCTTTACTAGACAATGAGAGCCTGGCCCTCTTAGGACACACACAGCCCATAAGGCAGCTGCAGGTGTTTAGGACAACCGGGCAGAACAAGAACAAAATCAGAGCACTTTAATTCACAGTTGGCATTGTTAAAATTTTCAAAATAAGGGCGAGGGGTATATTCAGTGGCAGAGTGCTTGACTGGTGTGCGTTCAGGCCCTGGATTCTATCTCATCACTGAAAAACAAAACTCAAAATAGGATCCTATATCAAATATTTTCATACTTCCTGTATGAAGATTTTCTTAGGAATCTGCCTAAATTTCACAGAATTTTCCATAGCGTATGCCTAGCAGCTATTTCCTCCTTGGGAAACCCAGACTTCTGTATCTATATTGCAAAATATGTTGCTTCTCCTATGAATGAGAAAAGGTATTAACTTGTGGGGGTGTAGGGGTCACACCTGTAATCCCAGCAACCCACGAGGCTAAGGCAAGAGGAGCCAGCCTCTGCAATTGAGTAAGACCCTGTCTCAAAATTAAGAAATAAAAAATGAGCTGTTTGCATAGCTCCGTGGTAAAGCACCTCTGGTTTCAATCCTCAATACCATTAAAAAAAAAAGCATTAACTAAGGAAGTGAGCTTTATGATAGTCACAGGGACAAACTGGGCAAAATGTTATCCATCTGCAAAAGCCCAGAGTAAACAGAATGAAAAGAAGGGTGCTTGCAGAAGCCTGTGATGTGGGAGAAGGGAAGAGCTCATGACTCACATAGCTGAAGAAATGGTCACTCAGGGGAATTTCTCCTTGCAAAGATAAAGAACTGAGAACAAAGAAGGTTGCAAAATACAGAAGGCAGTGGGCTGGGATGTGGGAGGGGGACAGGGAAATAGGTGTCACTGAGGAAGTGAATCTGAAGGGAAGGAAGGTGGCTAGGCTAGGAGATGCCTCTTTGTTTTAAGTTTGATGATCTTTGTCCCTGGGTTCAATCTCCAGTACCAAAAAAAAAAAAAAAAAGTTTAATGATCTTAACTGACTTTAGGGTAGGTCCCGGAGCCCAGCCCAATGGCGCCCTGGTAAGGAGGAACCCCTCTTCTGCTCAGCCTGGAGGGAAGGGGCTACGGAGGGGTGTGTATAATTTGAGGAGGGGGCTGCTGCTGTGGCCTCCATCAGCTGGGGTGTCAAAGGAGAGGTAACTGGAGAGATGGGAAGGGAGGGGTAGCTGGGGAGGAGGCGGACCAGGAGACCTGGAGGGACTTCCAGGCAGTGTGGAGGGGGCCCAGAGAGAGAATGGGTGCTGAAAGCAGGGCGCTCTCGTCCACGGGGGCCTTGATCTGCGCTCATCATCAGGGAGGGTGGGTGTCATCGGGCTGGAATGGCAGAAGGCAAGGGCTGAAACCTCTGCAGAAAAGTGGGGAGAAAGGCGGGAGCACACCCCAGAGTCCCGGGTCCATGGGTCCTGGCCGGCCAAAGAGCAAAGCTGTGGAAGGGAGTGAAGGGCAGGAAGGCACGGAGAGCAAAGTTTCGGTGGCAGAGGTGGAGCCACCCGCGAAGACCAGGTCCAAGGTGCAGGAGGGGGTGGGCGTGCCAGGCGGATCTGGAGCAGAGGTGAAGGGTGGCGCAACTGGCTGGCAGCAGGAGAGGGACAGGGGTGGTTCCACGGACCTGCCGAGCCTGCAGGATCTGGCCTCACCTCTGGGTTCTGTGGGGTGTGTGTCCTGGGAGCCTGAACAGGCCCCAGAGCAAGGGCTGTGGGCCTGGGGAAAAGCCAGGTTTCAGCAAAGGCAAGAGCATAATAAGTGGTCGGAAAAGGAAGGCTTCGGAGGGCACAATAGGAAGTTTCCCAGTGCAGGGAGGAGGGCCAAGGGAAGAACAAGAACAGTGGGATTCAAATAAGTAAGCACGTGTGGGGTCCAGGCTGAGAGCTCCCGGTGCACCTGGCTCAGAGGGACAGCTCCTAGAGCTTCATGGCGTCACTATGGCTGATGACATCTGTATGTTTCAGCATAGGTGGCAGAGAGGATTTTGAATATCCCACATCAAAGAAAGGTTAAACGCTTGAGGTGAGGAGTATGTCAACTACCCTGGTCTGACCATTACACATTGATACCTATACTGAAATGTGTCAGTGCACCTCATAAATTCATATAATTACCATGCGTCAATTAAAAATACTTAAAACAAAAACACGGGTGTGGTGGCACACACCTGTGATTCCAGCTTCTCTGGAGGCGGGAGGATCACAAGTTCAAGGCCAGACCCATCAAGTTAGCAAACCCTTGTCTAATTTAAAAAGTAAAAAGGGGGGCTGGGGATGTGGCTCAAGCGGTAGCGCGCTCGCCTGGCATGCATGCGGCCCGGGTTCGATCCTCAACACCACATGCAAACAAAGATGTTGTGTCCGCCGAAAAACTAAAAAACAAATATTAAAAAAAATTAAAAAAAAAAAAAAGTAAAAAGGACTAGGATGTAGCCCAGTGGTAAAGCACTCCTGGATTCAATCGCCAGTATTGAAAAAAACAATAATAATTAAAAACAAAATAAACCTGGATTTTGAGCACAGTGGCAATATAATCCCAATGACTCAGGAGGCTGAGGCACAAGTTTAAGGCCAGCCTGGGCAGTTTACCAAGACCCTGTCTCAAATAAAAAATAAAAAGGGCTGGGGTGTGGTGGTGTATGCCTATAATCCCAGCAGCTTGGGAGGCTGAGGCAGGAGGATGGCCAATTCAAAGCCAGCCTCAGCAACTTAAGCAAGGTCCTAAGCAACTCAGTGAGACCCCGCCTCTAAATAAAATATAAAAAAGGGCTGAGCATGTGGTTCAGTGGTTGAGTGCCCCTGGATTCAATGACCAGTGCTGCAATAAAATAAAAAACAAAGTAAAAATAAATTTTAAAAGAGGGCTGGGGGTGAAGCTCAGTGGGACAGAGTATACTTAGCATGTGGGAGGGCCTTGGTTTGATCCCCAGCAGTGCACGCAAATAATAATAAATAAATAAACATAGTTGGCTTTATTTGTTAAAGGTCCCACCCCATTTGACATCCACAAAAAATCCCAACTCTGCTCCAAACTCTGCCCGCCTCCTGGCCTACTGTCTCATCTTGTTTCAACCCCCACCTATATTTGCAATTGGGTTTTAGGTTTCCAGACATGGACCCCGGGGTCCAGAGAGCTCTCAGGATTAACAGCAGGGGTGGAGATCTTTTATGCAAAGCCTCTTTGTGCTCACCCCTGCTCCTCCCATAACTCTCCTCAATCAATTATGAGGGCAGGAACCCTGTGAGCTCAAAGGCTTAAGTCTAATAATGATTAACTTTTATTAAGTCAAATATAATTAAATTAAGTACCATTTGATTACTTTTTTCTCTGATGTATTTAATCCAGAGTTAAAACACTATTGTGACTTTCAGGAAGTATAAATCAAGAAAATATTTGTATCTTTTAAACTATAAGTTCTACTTGAGGAAACTGCACTGAAGAAAAAGTCAGAAAAGAGACAAAGATTAGTTGGTTGTGGTGACATAGGATACATCCTGTACTCTCAGTTACTCAGGAGGCTGAGGCAGGAGGATTGCCGAGTTCAAGGCCAGCCTGGAAATTTACCCAGATGCTGTCTCAAAGTAAAACGAAAAGGGCTGAGGATGTGGCTCAGTGGTCAAGTGCCCCTGGGTTCAATCCTCAGTACTACTACAGCAACAAAACCCTTAAAGATAGTGCAGGAGAATGTTATCTGCAGCATTCTTTCTTACTCTTTTTTCTTTTGTTCTCTCTGTTACACTGACGTCCTAGCCGATTATTACATCCCTATTATTTCCAAGCCTTGGTTTCTTGTTTATGAAATAGCAATAAGACTCAAATTAGGGGCTGGTGGGCAGAGTCAAAAAGACAGAATCCACCTCAAACTAGGCCTGGGCACGTTGTAGCCTTCAGAAATTTGTGGCTTCTCCTATAATCCCAGTGGTTCCAGAGGCTGAGGCAGGAGGATCACAAGTTTAAAGCCAGCCTCAACAACTTAGCGAGGCCCTAAGAAACTCAGTGAGACCCTGACTCTAATAAAATACAAAAAAGGGGCTGGGGATGTAGCTCAGTTGTTAAGCGCCCCTGGGTTTAATCCCTGGTACCAAAAAATAATAATAATAATAATAAATAATAATAATAATAATAGTGGCTTCTCTCTCCTCTTTCTCACTTCTCCACAGTCCCTCTCTTTGACTTGGCACCACATGGCAGGTCCACTCTGAGTCTCCTATTCTGTCTGTCTCCCAAGAGTCCTTGACTTTGTGGAATGATTTGGAAGGAATGCTGACCCTAATGAGGCACCCCATCACAAGCCTACCTCCTACTTCCTGACTCACCCCAAAGTGCCCCAACTCAGAACCCAGAGCAGAATGCAGTGTGAGGCGGAAGCTCACCGTCCTCTTGCTCGAGCTCCCCAAGGACCACGTACAAGGAGCCCACCTGGGCCTGGAACGGCTCCACCAACTTGGTACAGACAAGAACCTGGTGCTGATCAGATCCGTGCTGAGCCCTCAGGGTCACCCTGGACTGGGTCACGTCATAGAGGCACAACCTGGAGAAGGGAGGAAGCGAGATCATTTCTATCCATAGAGCCACCACAGAACTCAAAAGGTTTTAGGAGGCCAATAAACCTGGGGAAATCCACAGCCACCTTCAATGCACCCAAGAAAAAACTAGAAACAACAAGTGTTTCAGTCTACGTTATAGACCAGGGGATGACTTTCATTTAAGTTCCTTCCCCTTGTCTTAACTTTTCTTAATGGTATTTTGTAATTTAATCTTGTTGCTATCCAATGTAGTTGTTTTTTTTTTTTTTTCTTGTATGTTTTTCACTTTCTGTGTCTTAGCTGAGATTTCTGCTGATCACAAGGACATTGTGAAGATGTGTTCTTGATTATTTCTGGACATTTCATGATTTCAGCTTGTATTTCTGTGATACAGTGCAAATTATTATTCTTTTGTATGTTGTGAGGTAGGGATCAAATTGTTTTTCTGAGAAGTGAGTTGCTGGGCAATTTTATCACTATGCAATCAGCATAGGGCACACTCATACAAACCCAGGTGGCTGCCTACCACACTATTTTGAACAGATTATTGCTCCTGGGCTACAAACCTGTACCACATATTACTGTGTGGAACATGTAGGCAATTGTAACCCAAGAGTAAGTATTTGTGGACCTAAACATATCTAGACATAGAAAAGGTACAGTAAAAATATGAGGTGAGAGGCTGGGGTACTGGCTCAGTGGCAGAGCGCTTGCCTAGCATGCGTGAGGCCCTGGGTTCAATCCCCAGCACCACATAAAAATAAACAAATAAAATAAAGATATTATGTTCATCTGCAACTAAAAATATTTTTAAAAATATGAGGTAATCATAATTTTTTGGCTCCATTACTCCAATATAATCTTTTTTTTTTTTTTTTTTTTTGAATGTGTATGTGTGTATGTGGTTCTGGGGACTGAGCCCAGGGGTGCTTTACCATTGGGCTACATCCTTAATCCTTTTTTTGTTTTATTTTGTTTTTAGAATCAGGGTCTTGCTAAATTATTGTAGCTGGCCTTGGATTTCTGATCCTCCTGCCTCAGCCTCCCAAGTAGCTGGGATTACAGGCATGTGCCACTCACTATACCCAGCTCCATTTTAATCTTATGGGACCATTGTCATATAAAATCTCTTGTTGACCTGTATGTTATGCCATGCGTGATGGTATATTTAGATGAGGTAGATTTATACACGTGACATGAAAGCACGTCTAGCACATGCAGCTGTGTAAGTGCATAAACGGTACAATATAGAAACACCACAGAACCTCATCTAGGCTAAAATATGTCCTCAGATGTGTACACACATATCCCGGGATGGGCCCCATTGAATTGCATTTCCTGGGACCCACGTCCTCATGCAGTGCCCTGCCATGCTGAATAGGGCTGATCTGGGTAACCAGCGGATTCTGCAGGAATGAGGGAGAGTGACTTCTGACTCTGTCATAAATACATGGTGGCCTCCACCTTGCTTTGTCTCTTGGATCGCTCATTCTGGGAGAGACAGCTGTTAGAGAGAGCCTCACACAGCCCTACGGAGAAAGCCACATTGTCCTGGGCTGAGTGTTCCTGCCAGGAGCCAGCAATAATTTGCCAGCCAAGTGAATGAGTCACCTTGGAAGTGGATCCTCTAGTCCATCAAGGGACAAATGGCACCCATGGCCATTATCTGGGCTGCAATCTCATGAGAGACCTGAGCCAGACCCACCCAGTTAAGCCACCCTTGAATTTCTGACCCACACTAACTGTGAGATAATAAACATCTGTGGTTTTTTGGCGTGGGGGTTACTGGAGATTTAACCCAGGGGTGCTTTACCACCGAGCTACAACCACGAGCCTTTAATTTTTTTTTTTTTTTTTTAATTTTGAAACAGGATCTCATTAAGTTGTCTAGGGCCTTGCTAAATTGCTGAGGCTGGCCTTGAACTTGGGATCCTCCTGCTTCAGCCTCCCGAGCTGCTGGGATGACAGCATGCACCACTGTGCCCAGCTAAGGCACTATATTTGAGAGTGATTTATTATACAGAATATGCAACCAACAGAGTATACATGTACATACATATATTGGCCACCCAGATGTATGTATATACATACATATGAACATGAAAAAGTGTAGAAAGATGATCACAAAATGTTAGCAGTAGTTATCTGGACAATGGGATTGTAAGTGATTTTGCTTTCTTTACTGGACTCCCTATATTTTTACAACGAATACATATTCATTTTTAGCATTTTTCATAATTAGACAAAACTATATAAAACTACTCTAATTGCTTTATTTTTCAGGGGGGAACCATTTAAACATTCCCCCTCCCACCATGTGACAAGACCACCTTTCTCACCTGCCAAATGTTCTCAGGGTGCCCCCATCAGGAACCTGGCCAGCACTGACCTCCCAGGGGAAGTAATAGATCCCAGGTTTGGGCAGCATTGTTGGTTCCTGAAACCAAATAGGATGGATTTTTGAAGTTTCCTGATAAACCAAGCAAAACACAAAACAGATCCAGAGATGCACAAGACCGACAATAACACCTGGAAGACTAGTTCTAGTCGGGAGAGAGATACAATTGAAAACAGTTTTGAGCTCGGCATGGTGGTGCACACCAGTAATCCCAGCAACTTGAGAGGAGGAGCAGGAGGACCACAAGTTCAAAGTCAGCATCAGCAACTTAGCAAGACCCTGTTTCAAAATAAAAAAGGCTGGGGAAGCTAGGCGTGGTGGCGCACATCCGTAATCCCAGTGGCTCTGGAGGTTGAGGCAGGAGGATTGCAAGTTCAAAGCCAGCCTCAGCAAAAGCAAGGCACTGAACAACTCTGTGAGACCCTGACTCTAAATAAAATACAAGATAGGGCTGGGGATGTGGCTCAGTGGTTGATTGGTGCTGAGTTCAATCCCCGTGTATCCCCCAAAATAAATAAATATCAATTTCATTAAAAGGGAGGGGGCTGGGGATGTGGTTCAGTGATTAAGCACCCCTGGATTCATTCCCTGTCACTAAAAACAAAAATTCTTTTGATAGGTTATTAATGCACATAAAACACACACCCACCCACAGACCATATGGAGAAGTACTGCTTCTTACTCCAATCTCAATGCAACCCATTCCCAGCAATACCCAAAAGCATGGGTCTGTAAAGGAACAGACAGCACTTCCAGCTTCACGGGCTAGACGATGTCTGTTGTAGCTATAACAATTTTCCTTATACTAGGTTTCCTCTCAAATATTCAAGAACGGGCTGGGCCTGGTGGCACATGCCTGTAATCCCAGCAACTTGGGAGGCTGAGGCAGGAGGATCGAAAGTCCAAGGCCAGCTTCAGCAATTTAGCAAGATCTTGTCTCAAAATTAAAAAAAAAAAAAAAAAATAGAGAGCTGGGGATGGGCTCAGTGATAGAGCGCCCCTGGGTTCAATCCCCAGTACCATAAAATAAAATGTTAGAGAACTAGGGATTCAGGGATAATTAATTGTTCAATGACAAAAGAGTCCTGAAAGCAAGAGGTTTCAACTGTTCCTTGTCAGGACAAGCACATAGAGATGGAAATGAAGATAGATGATAATGAAATAACCCTAAAAGCCCCGTAGAAAACAGATGACACAGCCTCAGTCCAGAAGTTAAATATAACCTAGAATCTTGCACAGTTGGTATTGTTACAAGGAGGTCATTGGGCAGTGCTGCAAGTCAATGTGCAACGGACATTTTGAGAAGCTGCCAAGAGCAGGCTTGGTTTGTACAGATCAGGAGCGACGGGCTGAGTCTCAGCTGGCCCCATCCCCTTAAATGTGCATGTCGTGAATTGCCGTGGCCAGTGAGCGGAACTGTCGGTCACTAGACATGAAACAGCCCCCTAATCACCTCTGGCATGACCAAGAAGCAAAAATCGAAAGAAAACAAAAAAATAACCAAGGAGAGAAAAAAACAGAGTAGTGGTCCGTTAGGGGTCATGGGGGACAATCCCCTTCAGTCCAGCAAAAAGATGACACATGGTGGCTGTGGTGGCACATACCTATAATTCCATCCACTTGGGAGAACAGGCGGGAGAGTCTTAGCCTGGCAGCTTACTGAGAGCCTGGATCAAAAGAAAAACTAAAAAATAAAATAAAATTTAAAAAGGGCTGGGTATATAGCTCAGTGATAGAGACCCTCTGGGTTCAGTCCCCAGTCCTGGGGGAAAAAAAAAAGTGGAATAGGTTATAGCTCAGGGGTAAAATCTCCTGGGTTCAAACCCCAGTACTGTTAAATTTTTTTTTTTTTTTGTAGATAGACATAATATCTTTATTTTATTTATTTATTTTTATGTTGTGCTGAAGTTTGAACCCAAGGCGTCACACATGCTCTATCACTGAGCCCCAGCCCCAGCACACACAGAGTTTGATTTAGGAAAGTAGATACATATTCAAAGAATTGGGGCAATCTTGAGAGACACCTTTGGGATAAAGTATAAAGAATACACATTCAAGGGAGAATGTGGACTATCTGCAGAAGGAGAGAGTGCCCTGTGTCTGCATTTATTTGTTTGTTTGTTTATATTTTTGGCACTGGGATCTTTTTTTGTTTTCTTTTCTTTTCTGTTTTGGAACTGGGGATCAAATCTAGGGCTTCGAGTATGCGAGGCAAGCACTTTGACATCCCAGCCCTGTTTTTGGTACTGGGATTGATCCCAGGTGCTTTACCACTGAGTTACATCCCCAGTCTTTCTTGATTTTTTTAAAAAAATATTAATTCTTTTAGTTTTAGGTGGACACTATATTTTATTTTTATGTGGTGCTGAGGATCGAACCCAGTGCCGCATGCGTGCTAGGCAAGCACTCTACCATTGAGCCACAACCCAGACCCCTTAATTTTTATTTCGAGACAGGGTCTCACTAAGTTGCCCAGCCTGGCCTCAAACCTATAATCCCCGTACCTCAGCCTCCCAAGTAGCTGGGATTATACATGTGCACCATCATGCCCAGCTTTTAAAAATTTTGTAATGGGCTGGGGTTGTGGCTCAGAAGTAGAGCGCTCTCCTAGAATGCATGAGATTCTGCGTTTGATCCTCAGCACCATATAAAAATAAAATAAAGACACTGTGTCTATTTATAACTAAAAAATAAATATTAAAAAAATTTGTAATCACTACAGTAAAGACAGATTTGGGACAAATTGTCAATAGATGCTAAAAATACTACAAAAGTCTGATAAGAAATAGGTCTCGATATGTCTCCCTGCAGACTCCTTATTAATTACAAAGGGAAAAGGGATGCACTTCACAGTGGAGAACCTTAGCAAATACAGCTGTTATGGACCTCCTGATAAATACTGAGAAGGCATGGCACTTCTGTTGTATTCCTGCCTATGTGTCACCTGACTGTAAGGAATAACAGCCATGACTGAATTGAGGACACTGTGGGAAACAAGCTTATTGTAATTCTGAAGCGCAACAGTCACAGCAGACAGAGCGCTCAGGTAAGAGATGACAACAACATGACGACCATTGTGGACTGCACTGTGTCCTCCCAAAAAGACCCAGTGGAGAACTCTCAGGACCTCCGAATGTGCCCTTCATGTGAGACAGGTCTTTGCTGAGGTCCTCAGGATGGTCCTAACCCAACATGAGTGGTGTCATAAAAAAGGGAAAATCTGGATATAGAAACAGACACAATTTAAGGAGAAGGTCAATTGAAAATCAAGGCAGAGAGGGTGATGCGAATACAGGCCAAGGGATGCCAAGGATTGCCCACAAATCACCAGACACTGGGGCTGAGGATGTAGCGCAGTTGTAAAGTGATTGCCTGGCCTGCCTTAGGCCCTGGGTTCAAATCCTAGCCCCCCACACATACACACACACACACACACACACAAAATCACATCATTGGAAGCCTTTTAAAGGTGAGGCCTGGAACAGATTCTCCCTCACAGCCTCAGGGGAACCCACTCTGGACAGCTGGATTCCAGACTCCTGGCCTCTAGAACTGAGACAGTGACTTCTGCTGTTTAATCCCCCCAGTCTGTAGCACTTTGTTACAATATCCCTAGGAAATGAAGACCACTGAATATCATTTATGATGCTGCATTGGACCTTAGGCTGGAGAAAAAAAATCGTGGTAAAGATCATTACTGGACAATTGTAAAACCATTTCTAAGATTGCAGATTAGGTAACAGTATTGTATTAATGTTAAATTATCTTGGCAACTGTTCTGTGGGTGACCTTGCCCTTAGGAAATAAACATGGGTTCTTACAAGTAAGGATCAGGATTTCCATCTTGTTTTCTCAGATGGTTCAGAAAACAAAAAGCAAGTCAACAAGAGGTGACCTAGCAGCTGTGGCAAAAAGTTAACTAGTAGATCTGGGTGAAAGGTATGTTGATTAACTTTATTCTCCAATTCTCGTATAAGTTCAAAAATATTTCGCAATAAAAAGACAAAGCTCACCAGGATCCAGCTCTCCAACGAAGCTACTCTACTAAATGCTGTGTAACTGTCATCGTTACATCCAGAGTGGCGAAGGGCAAAACTAGTACAGTGTGAAGATGTCAACCGGCTTTATTTTCCATTCTAGAACCAGGCAATGCTGCATTCCATGGCACAGAATAAGTGTTCCAAGGGGCTGGGCAGCAGAGGTGGGCAGTAGAGGTGGGCTGCAGAGAGAGAGAAGCAGAGAAGGGCTGGCAAAAGAGACGAAGAGCAGAAAGGACTGGTCATTCCAAAGTCGCCTTCCTCCTAAGGCAGGGACAGGGAGACAGAACAAAATAGCTGACAGGTCAACTTCAAGGTTATTTTTTTGTAAGGATTAAATGATTAAGGGACCTAAGGATTAAGGCAGAGGGAATCTCAGTGTCATGCTATTGGCCTGTTTCGGAAATTTGGCTGTTGACTTTATTCTCCTGATTTCAGATGGTCAAGTAACATGGGTGACCCTATCTTAATATTTGGTCTGGCCTGCTGGGTCCCAGTGCAAGAGTCAGAATTGTGGCCTCCTGTAATTTTTATTTAACAAGAACAATTGGCTTTCTAGAATATTAGGACTGGAAGTCTTTTGTTGAGCACCTTCTGTAGGATGGGGGCCTTTGCACTCACTCATTTTCTTTTTGTTTTAATTTTGATGTTGTTTTCTTTGTTTTATTTTATTGTACACTGACCATTTATTTTCTTCCTTCTTCTTCATTTTTTTTTTCCTTTGCAATACCAGGATTGAACCCAGGGGTGCTCTGCCACTGAACTACATCTTTGCACCTTTTTGTTTTGAGGCAGGGTCTTGCAGAGTTGCCCATTCTGGCCTCAAATCTGTGATCCTCCTGCCTTAGCCTCCCAAGTCACTGGGATCACACTGACCCGTTTTCTTAACATGAACAGTCATGGATCACCAGACATCTGGGGAAAATTGCAATGTGAAAGAAAAACACTGATGAAATGAATAGCAAAACTGATCTAGGAGGAAACCCAAACAGCACAGGGAATAGAAAAAAAAATCATTTTTAAATTTTTTTGTGGTACTGGGGATTGAACCCAGAGGTATTCTACCACAGGGCTACATCCCTGGTCTTTTATTTTTCAGTTTAAGACAGGGTCTCATTAAGTTGTAGAGGCCAGCTTCAAACTGAGGCTCCCCTGGAGTCTCAGGAGTATGCCTCCAGAGCCACAGGGATCATAAGTACCACCTCCAAGTTTGTCCCTCACAGTCCCTGAAATTGTCACCTATCCCTCACAGTCCCTGAAAAATGTCACCACACTCCATCGGCTTAAACTTAGGATCATTCTAGATGCGTCCTTTCCTCTCAAGGCCTCATCCAATCCCCACCCTGTCAGCTCTATCCAAGCTGGAGGGTGAGGGTCTCCCTGTCTCCATGGTCATCACCCCGTCCACCCCTTTACCAGGCCTCTAACTGGCCTCTTTCTACTTTTTCCTGCTACAGTTCATTCTCTTCACGGCAACCACGCGATGTTTTCAACGGGGAAAAAATGCTGCAGGGAGTATTTTTGGCCAAGACCTCAAGTCTGAGTCTAGCAGAGCCTCCAGATGTTAACCAACAAAGTACAGAAAGCTCAAAAACAGAGGAATATGTCAAAGATGCCACAGAGAAGGGAAAAATACGGATTGTGGGAAATTCCACAGGAAAAAAGATCCAGTTTCTTAAATAGAAACAAATTGAAGGGAAAAAAACATACAGGAGAAAATCATATATTGTCAAGATTTATACCCACCCACGGCAACTTGTGGACCTTGTGTGGACCCAGATTTGAACAAAGCAACCGTCTTTTGATGGAGGAAACTTGATTATATTTCGGGTCTGTGACATTAAGGAACTTGAGTTAAGATTTCCAAATGTGGGCTGGGGATGTGGCTCAAGCGGTAGCGCGCTCGCCTAGCATGCATGTGGCCGGGGTTCGATCCTCAGCACCACATACAAAGATGTTGTGTCCGCCGAAAACTAAAAATAAACATACTAAATCTATTCATGGACAACATGTAGAACTTGCTTAAAATTAATGTGGTAGCAACTGGTTGGAGGTGTAGTTGATCGCGGTGGAACCCGGGTACAGAAGTACATATGGAGTTCTCTATAGGACTCCCCCTACCTCTGTACCAGTTTTCAAATATCAATCAGACCACATGACTCCTTGTTGAAAATCTATGAAAGGTGCCCGATGACAACCACTAGAATTGAGAGCCTTTACTTGGCTGTAATAGCATGTGGGGTCCACTCCTGCCCCACCTTTCTGCCCTTCCCCTTCCTCGGCTCACATCTCAGGACCTGGACCTGCACATTCCCTTGGTTGGTTTCCTTTCTTTCAGGTCCCAGTTCAAATGCCTCTTCCTCTGTGAGGCCTTCCTGGTCCACCCATCTAAACTAGTATTCTCCCCATACCCAATTCTATCCATAACCTGATTCATTTTCATTATTTTGTTTACTAAACAATCAGATGTCAGATGGCACGGTCTTTTTATTTGTTTAAAGCCTGGATCTAGACTGCAGAGGAGAATTTGAAAGCCTTATTCCCTGCTGTGTCCCCTGGGTCTGGGACATTATTAAATATTCATGGAATGGGTGAAGAGATTCATCAAGAGAAAAGCGAAAACCAAAACCACCTGTCTCCACACACAGTCTGGACACTGAGAACCAAAGCTACACTACAGGACTCTGCCAGAACTCTATATTCCTTGGCATTTCTTTACTTTTCTGAACTGTCTACCCAGCAAATGGCTGGAGCTCAACAGCCATTCTGTGCACTGAGATTCATTCAATTTCCTTGACTTGCTGTTTCCAATCATTTTAGACTATGGTTATTTTTTTTTTTTTGGATCAGAGATTGAACTCAGGGGTACTCAACTACTGAGCCATATCCCCAGCTTTGTTTTGTATTTTATTTAGAGGCAGGATCTCACTAAGTTGCTTAGCACCTCACTTTTGCTAAGGCTGGCTTTGAACTTGCAATCCTCCTGCCTCAGCCTCCTGAGCCACTGGGATTACAGGTGTGCACCACTTTCCCCAGCTTAGACTATGGTTCTTGCCTACTCATAATCAAGACCCAAAATTGAAATTCTCAATAAATTTTGACCTTACCATCCCCTCTGAGACACTGCCAAAGTCTTGCCAGATAGTGATTCCCTTTTACCCAGTAAGCAATAAACTCAGCTTTATCTTATCAACAGCTTGTTTTAGTTATATTTGTAGTGCCAGCTTTTTCTTTTCTTTTTTTATTTTTTTGTACTGGGGATTGATCCCATGGATACTCTACCACTGAGCTACAGCCCCAGCCCCCTTTTTTTGTTTTTTATTTTGAGACAGGGTCTCACGAAGCTACTCGGGGGGTTCAGTAAAATGGCTGAGGTTGGCCTCTAAGCTGTGATCTTCCTGCTTCAGCCTTCCGAGTTGCCACCATAACCAGTAACAGAGTACCAACTTTTGGCAGGAGTAATAAAATCCGCAGTAACTTGGCGAAATAATGTTTAGTGGAGAAAGAGGTGCATTACACCCGTTAACCTCAGTTAACAGTGCCTTGCCCAGGTATACTGGGCCCGGAGAAAAAGAAACCATCAGCAACAATTATCTTATCTTCATTCAGCATTTTGATATTTTGTTCATGGTGGGGGTTTTCTTCATTTTGATTGTGGGGCTGGGAATATAGCTGGGAATATATGGTAGAGCACTTGCTTAGTATGCTGGAGGCCCTGGGTTCCATATTGCCGGCAAACACATAAACAAACTGCATTAAAATATTATTCATCTTTAGTATTGGCTCTAGAGCCTCCTTATAATTTGTATCCAAGGTGAATGCCAGTACTGTACTGCAAAAACTTAAGTATGTCGAAATTTACAAAAACAAATTAGGGAGAGGTAAAGGATTTGTGTAGTGTGCTACATCTTATCATGGCACGACCTCAAAAGGTAACTAAAATAAATGCAGAAATAATTTTTTTTTGGTTGGGGTACCAGGGATTGAACTCAGAGGCACTTGACCACTGACCCACATCCCCAGCCCTATTTTGTATTTTACTTGAAGACAGGGTCTCACTGAGTTGCTTAGTGCTTCACTAAGTTGCTGGGGTTGGCTTTGAACTTGCAATCCTCCTGCCTCAGCCTCCCAAGCTGCGCCTGGCCAGAAATAATTTAAGTATTTAATTTAGCAATCTTTTGAGCAATATTAACTAAAAGTGAAAAGTGGTTGCTTCTGAGGATGGGGAAGTCTTGCTTTTTATTATGAATCCTATGATTTTTTGCGCGCGCGGGGGGGGGGGGGGGCGGTTTGCGGGGTATTGAACCCAGGGCTTTGTGCATTCAAGGCAAGCACTCTACCAACTGAGCTATATCCCCAGCCTGAATCCTGTGATTTTTAGGCACATGTGCAGTTACCACTTTTTGACGATGATAACACAAATAAAAAAGTCTGGATGCCAAGATCTCTAAGAACCGCCCTTCAGTTTAGGGAAACAACAACAAAAACTCTGGCCTGACGGGTGATGCAGACATGTAATCCCAGAGACTGGGGAGGCTGAGGCAGGAGGGTCACAAGTACAAGACCAGCCTCTGAAAGACCCGGTCTCAAAATAAATAAAGGCTGGGGATGTAGCTCAGTTGTAAGAGCGCTCCTGGGTTCACTCTCCAGTGCGACACAGGCGCACACATACACGTAAAATCTATCCTCAAAGGCAGGTCTCAAGAGAAGCATGCCTATCTCATAGGGAACCTCTGTAAATCTGCACCCAGACCTCTACAGCCCACGCTGGCCCAAGCACACCTTTATTTTAATAGAACTTTGTCCCCAATCCTTTTTCTCCAGTCTGGGAAGATTCTGGGAAAACCTAGGTCTTCCCCCTACAATTACGCAAAGACCTCCCACACTCTCTCCGCCCATAGGCCCCTGAGTCCCATCCTTCCACTGTTTCCGGGGACGGTTTAGCAAAAGGATCCGGAAGTGCGGGGCAGACGAGTGCCAGAGCGCAGGCGCAGACCTCTGTCGTGTTGTCCCGCCCTCTCCCAAATCCCCAGCCAACCTGTTCACGGTGTCCCCGGGCCTCAGGTCCCTATTTCCGCTCCGCGCGATCACGAGACGCGAGAGAGGCGCGATACCGAAAGCACCTGGCTCCCCCTTCACGCCCCGGGCAATCTGCTGACCTTCCACCTGGGTCCTCTTGGCCAGGGGTCGGGAGCAGGGGATTCGTCCGCTTTGCGGGCGGTCCCGGCGCGGGTGCCCGGGGTCACGCGCAGAGGGCGGTGAGGAAGAAGGGGCGGGCCGGGGCCAGCGGGGCGGGGACTCGCGACGTCCTGGGACTGCTCTTAGGGCCCAGCCGGCGCTAGAGCTGCGGACACTGTCGCTTCTGCCAGCACTGCCGCTGCCTCGTCTCCGACACCGGCCGATACCATGAACCCGGACCTGCGCAGGGAGCGGGCCGCCGCCACCTTCAACCCCGAGCTGATCACACACATCCTGGACGGCAGCCCCGAGAAAACCCGGCGCCGTCGAGAGATCGGTGAGGGCGGCGGGCCGGCCTCCGTTCTCTCGCAAGCAAGGCTGAGACCCCCCTCGAAGAGGAGTCGGTGGCGCTGTGGGGCTTCGGGAGAGCTGAGACTCCCACTTGGAGGGACGGCCCATGACAGGGGTTGGGGGTCTCGCCCTTCCGGAGCTGTGCTCGCGATTCAGACCTGCAGTCAATAAAGGAGGGTCGATTTCGCTGGGGGCGCGGTGGCGCACGTCTGTAATCCCAGCTACCCGGGAGGCTCAGGCAGGAGGATCGCAAGTTCGAGGGCAGCCTCAGCAATTTAGCAAGACCCGGTCTCAATTTTTTCTTTAAAAAGGGCCGTGGTGCTGCTCAGTGTCAGACCGACCTTGGGTTCAATCCCCTGTACCGGGGGCGGGGCTTGGGGAATGTCTATCTTCCTCTTGATGTCCTTTAACTCCCTTGTAGAGAACCTGATTATGAACGACCCAGACTTCCAGCATGAAGACTATAACTTCCTCACTCGCAGCCAGCGTTACGAGGTGGCTGTCAAGAAGAGTGCTAGCATGGTGAAGAAGCTGAGGGAGTTTGGCATCGCAGATCCTGACGAAATCATGTGGTTTAAAAAGTAGGTATACCTTACCACAGGGCAAGTATTGTTAGCCCAGACTTCACAGCTGCGGACTCTTTAAGCCTTTTATCATCATTCTTGGCATGTGAAGGCCCACACAAGCATAGTTTCGTGCCTATTGAAAGTTGTACCTGTGGAAAATAATGTGGTTACTTTTGTATCTAAGCTTTTTAGTGAGATGACATGTTTGTAGAATGCTGGTAATAAAAAGAGAGTTTTCATTCTCAAGAATTCAATCTCAGGAATCTTTTATTTTTCAAATTCTTTCACTAGCATCTGAATTTGGAGTGATTTTAAATGCAGGAAGAGGTTGCTCTTTCTAAGAAGGAGACCTACTAAATTTCTGAGTTTGGAAAGGTTTTCAGTTGTGAAACCAAATGTTGAAGTATTTTGTAGTAATAGCATTTTATTTTTATAAGATAGTGTAGTTCTTGAGTTTAAAATAATGGGAACTATGAGGATGGAAGAAGAACATTAGTCTAACCTCAGAATGAATTTGAAGTATTCTAAGAACCTAGCATTGTTGAATCTAGTGACAGGTTTAAATGGTTGTCTTGTGCAGGAAATCTGCCTTGGTCCTAGTGCTGGAAGAGAGTCTATCTTTTTCTCAGACCACCTGTTTTCATTGCACTTGCTTTGGTTTTTTAATTAGATAAAAAAATATGGGGCTGGGGTTGTAGCTCAGTGGTAGAGCACTTGCTTTGCATGTATGAGGGTCTGGGTTCCATCCTCAGCACCACATAAAAATAAATAAATTAAAATAAAGATTGTGTCCATCTACAACTAAAAAATATATTAAAAAAAAAAAAAGAAATATGGAGTTTCTGGCTTAACCTAAATTAACACTCCAGTATCAGATTGTTTTGGTCTATAGCATCTCTTACAAGTCTCATTTATTTCTGGGCATCTCCTTTTTTTAAGTTTCTGTGTTTTAGAGGAACTCCAATATTTTCATCAGTAAAGATTAAATTTGGGACTGGGAGTGTAGCTCATGGTAGAGACTTGCCTAGCATATGCACAAGACCCTGGGTTCAATCCACAGCACTGCATAAAAATAAGTGAAAAAGCTGAGTGCAGTGGTGCATACCTGTAATCCCAGTGACTTGGGAGACTGAGGCAGGAGGATTGCAAGTTCAAAGCCAGCCTCCATAATTTGGAGAGGTCATAAGTAGTTTAGTGAAACCTTGTCTCAAAAAAATAACTAGGGGTGCAGCTTAGTAGTTAAGTACCCCTCGGATCAGTCCCTGGTACCAAAAAATAAATAAGTAAGTTAAATTTTGTGAATGTTGTATTTTCAAGAATGAAGATATACCATCCCCCGAAACCAAAATCCTAACATTTTCTCTGATAAGCAGATGCTGATTCATAATGGAGTGGGGGTAAGGAAGAATACAATTACTTTAGATTTCATAATGGGGTGAGGGAAGAGGAGGGGTTATGGGGGATGAATTATAGTAGAATGAATCAAGACATAATTATCCTATGTACATATATAACTATATGATCAGTGGGATTCTACATCATGTATAACCAGAAGAATGAGAAGTTATACCCTGCTATATATGATGTATCAAAGTGCATTCTGTCATGAATAACTAATTAAAACAAAAAAATGATTATATATAAAAACATGAAGATATATGAAACATGTTACAAATTCTACCTTTGTGTAGTAATGCTCCCCTATACTACTTTCTCTAAGGCATTTAGCATCGATTTTCAACTTGGCTTAGTTATTATGAAGACGAAATGACCTACTCTGGCCCTTAACACTTTGCCCAGAACTCCATTCAATTTGTTTTTCAAAATTTTTTATTTTTGGTAACACAAATTGGAGTATTCTCCAATTGCCAATTATTCATTTTTGTTTCTGAGGTTTGTGACTCATGGCTGTGAGGATATTGAGGGAGAGTAAATTCTAAATTGTTACCAAATGACCTGAGTTGAGTTTGTAAACTTTTAAAAATTAGTTAAGATTGTGCACCTCTGTAATCCCAGCTCATGCCTATAATCCCAGAGGCTCAAGAGACTGAGGCAGGAGGACTGCTAGTTTGAGGCCACCCTCAGACTCTGTCTCAAAATAAAAAGGGCAGGAAATGGAGTTCAGTGGTAAAATGCTCCTGGGTTCAATCCCCAGAACCAAAAAAAGAATAGAAATTTGGGGTAGTTTTAGTTTTTTAAGTGGTTGATGCAGCCACTTTCAGAATTGGTGTACATTATAACTTGGTAGTTTGTGGTGTGTAACCAAACATAAGTGAAGTCACAGGAACTAGAATAAAGTTTTTGTGTTGGCTAAAGAGCCTGTGGACTCCAGTCAGCTTTTTTTTGTGTATCACTTTTCACCTGAAATATTAAAGTATCAACTTTAACAACCCTTTGGTATCCTCCCAGTGTCCCTAGGCTATGACAGGGAGATCATAAATTAGATTGGAAATTAGTTTTGGCAGTTACTGCCTGAGATCAGATAAGCCAGAGCATATAATCCCATCAATATGATAAACTCATCAGTTGTGACCAATGTTTTGGTTTGCCACTAAAAAAAAATGTGAGTGGGGGCTGTGTAGCTCAGTGGCAAAGTGCTTGCCTAGTATGTGTGAAACACTGGGTTTGATCCTTAACACCACATAAAAACAAAATAAGGGCGTTCTGTCCATGTTGCCAGTTAACTATGACATACCATTAGTTGTGAGATATATTGGATTTCTTAAATGCTAAAATGAGGGGGAGGGCACTAGAATTAATGAAATACAGTAATATTTCTGGGGAGGACTTGGGGCACTTATTTGTCTCTTTTACATCCATTTCTCCTATCACAAAATAAAACTTAAAGAGCCTGTTTTGAAGCTGACTTAATATTGGTAAAATACTTTTTTAAGATTTTCCAATTTCAACAAAGAACTGTTTCTTCTAGGCTTTGCTGCTTGGAGAAATGTTTTACTAATCTTTCCTGTAACTTTGTCTTTATGCTGTTTGCTATGAAAAGAAAACTGTAAAATATTCTTTTTTTTTTTTTGGTTTTCTGATTTTGTAATGAGACTCATATCTCATTCCTCATTCTTTTCTCCTCTTTAAACAACATCAAAATGTAAAATATTCTTAAGAGTTATTTGAAATTCTAATGAGGATCAGTCGAGTTTTTTGTTAACCTTCCTAGGTTTTCAAAGCTGGTTTCCAGTGGCTATGGGTGCAGCCCAGGGGTAGAGTACGTGCTCAGCATCTGTGAAGGCCTGAGTTCACCCTAGCACCCCAGAAATAAAAATAAAAAATTAATTAAAGCTGGCTCCTTAAAAACCATTGTCAGATGGAATTAAACATCATTTAACACACTCAGTTTTTAAGTTGTTTTTCAGTACTGAGAATTGAACTCAGGGGTGCTCTAATATTCCCTAGCCCCACCCCCTTTTTTTTTTCTATTGTGCTGGGGATGCGACTCAGGGCCTTGTGCACGCTGGGCAGGTGCTCTACCACTATGCTATATCCCCAGCCCCACATTTTGTTCTTGAGTTGAATTTTAAATGCCTAGAAACAAAAACATATTTATTAAGAATGAAAATATTTCATAGTTTTATTTTGTATCCCATATTTTCTATTATTTTCTCAAATTATTTTGCATTAATGTCATTTTAAAATTTTTTAATATTTATTTTTTAGTTGTGTCTTTATTTTATTTATCTTTATTAATTTATTTACCTTTATTTATCTTTATTAAATAATATCTTTATTTATTTATTTTAATGTGGTGCTGAGGATCGAACCCAGGACCTCACATGTGCTAGGCAAGCACTCTACTGCTGAGCCACCACCCCAGCCCCCATTAGTATCATTTTCAGAGTACTTTACTAAATTATTTGGCCTTTTAGGTTCTCTCATGGAATGTGAGTGCCTTAATAGTTTTACCCAAATAACCATGCCACTTTTTTGTCTTCTCTTTCCTTTGTTTTTTTTTTTTGGAACTGAGGATTCAATTCAGGGACATTTTACCATTGAGCCACATCCCCAATCTTTTTATTTGATTTTTTTGGGGGGAGGGGGTGGTGCTGGGGATCTAGCCCAGGGCCTTGTGCATGCAAGGCAAGCACTCTACCAACTGAGCTATAGCCCCAGCCCTATTTTTTTAAATTTTGAGACAAGGTCTTGCTAAGTGCTGAGGCTGGCTTCCCTAGTTGCTGGGATTACAGATGTGTGCTATGGGTGCCTGGCTCTTCTCTCTTTTTTTCTTATGGTACTGGGATGGAACCCAGGGCCTTTCAAGTGCTAAGCATGCATTCTACCATTAAGCTACATCCCCTGCACTTTTTAAATTTTATTTTAAGCTGGGCTTAGTAGATTGTTCAGGCTGACTTTGAATTTGTTGTAATCCTGTATTGGCTTCCTAAGTAGGTAGAATCTCAGGCATGTACCACCATGTCCAGCTACTGCTTTTATTTCTCAGACATTCTATATGTTTGTTTCTTTATATATTTATGAAAGGAAATGGGAAGGGTATAACTACTGGTTGGTTTAGTGAGAGGTAGAATGCTTGAGATGTGGTATATTTTCCGAATTATGGAACTTGCATAATAAAGGAGTAAACTGCTGCTTAACTAGAGTACTTAGAAATAAACTTCCCTGTTCTGCATATTCTTAATCCTCCTATTTTCCTCCAATGTTTGGGCTAAAAGGCATTTTACTATTTTGGGGCTTTGTTGTTGTTTATTTCTCTATTTGCTTATTAAGACGTTGGCTAGCCAGTCATTTCTTGGATATTTGGCAGTGTTTTATCCCTAGCATTCCTGAAATGTGATTTTCTACCCTAAGCTTATGACTGAAACCATTGGCACAGAGAAAACATTTTTTACTGATGCTAACCAGCAACCTCTATTCACTTTTACACAACTTTGGGTACATTCCTTCTAGTGGGATCTGTAAGAATTATAACAAATCACTGGTTAAATAGAAGTATTAGTATCTAGTCAGGTGAGGTAGCACATTTTTGTAATCCCAGTGACTTGGGAGGC